ATTTTAGAAGGAACCATTCCTGCCGGCTATCCGGATGCAAGAATCTGTGTGGACAATATCACTTCGTACACGGAACCATGCAGTGGTAAGTTTTTTGTGTTATCGGCCAACCTGTTCGTCTTTGTAGGATAGTTAAACTGCAGTGAGTAATGTTGTGCACTTGTATCGCGCGGCCATAAATATGGGGTTGTAACTTGGCGTGTTGTCCCAGTGGATCAATATATTGCGGTAGCAAATTGTCTGTGCATCAAGTTGTGGGAACTATCGGTGAACTTGTGCCCGCCGATTTCAGTTCGCACAATAAACATGGGTTTCAGTAGCATAGGTATTCATGTGAACAAGGCCGGACTACAGTTTTGATTGTCCTTGTCCGAGACTAATTCGCGCCATTTGGAGGCGACTTTTCCTCCGTGAACTATGCACTGGACCATCCGGTCTTTCTGTCAGGTAAAGTTCATTGAACTTTTATTGTGCCAATTTTCAATGTACCGCTCCTGCTTCTCTTTATTTCGCCCTCCCCCACACACTTTGGTACTGGTCTCCTAATTATATAGAATACTGTGATCATCGTTGGGTTCAAAGACATATTAATAGACAAATGAATTGTGAACGCATCCAATCAATTTGTTTTGATCGTGTTTCAAAGTTTTCGCTTTGCTACCCATTTATGGAAGCAGAATTCCATCATCGTTGACAACAACCCGGACTCATTCTGTCCATTGACAATCATATTTGTGCAATGATATGTAGTGGTCAACATAATCTATCAACATGAACCCGATGGAGCACTCCCAATTTTTTTTTAAGGGATGTGGACTACACCTATGGGATTTCGTTAAAACTCGGTAACCGCAGTTGAATTCGCCGCCGGTCAGGTTCTCAATGTTTTCAACAGAGTCCTAATCCTAGAGGATATTATTGCGATGTGCGAGCTGTGATGCCCGCCAGAAGTTTGCAAAGACGGGTTATGCTACATATATCGTGTAAAAGGCAAAATGGAAAACTGCTTCATTGGCTGCCCGGTAAGTAGTGTGCTTGCGGTCCACCTACGAGGTCCGGGATTCGACCTACAGATGGGTCAATGGATTTACACTGCTGATGAGACCCAAGCAGGTCGAAGCAGCTGCCCAGTGCTTCTTAGTTTTTCAGTTCACGCCTAATGTGCTTTTCACACCACGGAATTCACTATATAACCCCAGTTTTTTAAAACTATCTTTATTGATAGTCAGTTTTAGTCTGAGAGGAAAATATAGCAAGTATCTTATTATTTCTAATTTTTTGCCTGTCGCCAGTTCATGTCATCCTTGCTGGTTTCCCTAATCTTTCACGAATTGGAACACCTGCGTGGGTCTATTTTCATTCTCTGCTTAGTTATATGTGAGTAGTAGTGTAGGTAGGCACAATTGCTTCGAACTGAACATCGTTTAAGACCTGTCATATACAACCCTCAGTTCATTCGGTCAATCATTCAATCCGGGAGCGAATATCCTCCGCCACTGCTCATAAATAACTCAGTTGAAAATCAAAGACATCATATATCACTCGACCGTTTGGTTTTTTCATCAGTGTTCAATACATCCTAAACCAAAATGTTACCACCACCGCTGGTCGCTTCGGTGCTTGAAAGAATTTTTGCCGAAATAAAGTTTTCTGTGCCAGATTTTCGGGGGATAGGGGGGATTTTGTGTAATATACAGTCGGTTCTTGAACGAAGAGCTTTATCGCATTGTTTCGGAGGTTTATCAGAGGGCGATCGTCGTCGGACAGGATGCTGTTGTAGAACTTTCAATAATCTATAAAACGGTCCTCGGCAAAGAATTAAAGCAAACGCAACTGTGCTAAACCACTTGTGTGCCCTAAGCCACAATTATATTCATGTGCTTTATGTATTACACAAATGAAAAATGTGATCACCAGTGTGAACTACGACGTATGGCTTTCCATCAAATGCAAACTTTCTACTTCAATGCGAACAAATTTGTTATCATTACATTTGCGGTATTGATTGGAGGACCATGCAAAAGTAAAAAAACGCAAGTGAAGTAAATAAAGTTAAAAAAAACTATGATTCCGAACTTGAGGGTAAAACATCGCTGAGACTCGGAACTCCCCATAAGCAGTGTTGATCTGCCTAGTTGGAAGAGTAACCGAAGATACATGAAGGTCGCTTTTACAGAGAGGCGAATTAAGGGAGGGCGGAGTTTCATCCTGAGGCACTACACAACTTACCGGCAATGAGTGAGATTTCATTGTGATTGAGAAAAGTGTAAATTAATTGTAAACTCACATCTGGAACTATTATCTTAATTGCTGCTATTTCATTGCATCATTGTCACACTTTTGCCACCTTCAACCTTCCTTCACGATACTTTGGTTTTTCAAAATGTTATTTGAACTACTGACAAAATATCAGTAGCTACACTTCATTGGAATGGCACGCTTGCTACCAATCACGCTCATACAGACACTGGATGGCGTTTGTTGCCCACAAAAGTGCGCATAACCCCGTTTATGATTATTGTATTTCACTCTATGTTTATCCAGCTCTTCAAAAAGCCTCCAAACCCGTATCGAATCACTGGACCTGGGCTCAGTACTTCAGCATCACGTTTGTTACCGCTTTGATCCTCGGCTTGACTATTCCCATCTTGTTCCTGGCTATTCTGATTTGGGCTTGTCGTCGACGTCATCATTCGATGCACTCGAGCTACACAAACAACAAACTTTTTTCGACCAACTTGTGGTACTACATTGGCGGCAAAGAGTTGTGCGATGATCCAAACGGTTATCGGGGTAGCACGAGTCTACTGCGAAGTCACAACAAGACATATAATGGATCAGGCACTGGAACCACAGGCACACTGTATGCCAGTCAAATCGGTGGTCCAAATGGATCCGATGTGATGGATTTACCTGATGTGGTCATTCCAGGTGGTCGTGTTGTTTCATTCAACTATTCCGGTAACACGTTGGGACCAGGTGGCACGATGCGTCACATGCAACAATCCATGACTACGGCTAATTCGGTTCAGCCAATGCATGGATTCAATACCATGGGTCCACAAACTATGACAGCCGGAATGGGCACGGTTTCGTCACAAAGCTCTGGTACTGTGCAGACCACTACTGTACGCCCTGTAATGTCCGATGGGATGCCACAAGCCGATAGTGGGTTCACCTACCAGCCCATACTTGGTATGTTTTGGAAATCCATAAGAATGGGTCATTTCGGTCTGTCGTTATCCGCGTGAGAATGGGTTTTAATTTTTATCCCTAATTAGTCGTATGTTTTGCAGTAAGGTCAAACCTGTCCTAAACTTTTTCTCATATCTTACCATCTAATGTGTATGGAATATAGTTTTGCCGCGGTGTTCTAGTAATTTATTCAACAGAAAATTTATTTTGTAGTTTTTCTTCTATTTATTTCGGTTTCGTTCATTTTCACACGGTCAAGCTGCGTGAAGAATAACAAATGATAAACTTCCTTTTTTACGCGCTGGGAAAGGCATCCAAAATGAACTGATGTTCATTACCATTTTCAAAATGAATCTCACCGTTTCTGAGGATGCAACTCATATTTCGGTTTGTTAATTTCTAATCGTTTTTTTTATCATACAATTTCGTGTGATGAACAATAGACGGGGTAAACCCTAAAGACACGAGGACCTGCTCTTCAGTGCTGGAAACCGGTGACCTAAGCTCCGGGACTTGGGGTGGTAAACCACGTAAGGCCCCGATAGGTTAGACGTGTTATTGAACCGGACGACAGCAAGGTTGCCTACTACCTATTAAACCACAAACAACCATTTTGAATAGAAAACGGTATAGCAAACAATACTTTTTTCCGGCGATTCTTCTCGGCTAATATATCTCAGTTTAGATAACTCGAATAAATACGAGAGGGTGGAGATGTTACTCACAAGAAAATGATGATAATAATAAATTGACGAACTTGGGAAAATATAGGCAGTCTGCTGCTTCCGGCATGGTGTTTCGTCCGGATCTGCCTAAGACTCCTAGAGGTGGGTGGAGGGCCATGGGAGACACGATTGTCTGAAATGTATCAGCTAAGCAGATTTTTTGCGCTCTGTTAGCGAAACACTGAATCAAGTTTCGCTTCTTATGGATGCGAGTTAGGACCGTGAAGTGGTTGATCTCCTCCTTAACAGTGACCCTGTTGGACGGATCAAGTAAAATATTTAGTCCATATCCTCTGTCGATTGGATATGTGCAGTCAAAGCCAACTTGCCTAAGACTATGACTTGTTGGTGAAATGCTGAGTGATATCCAATGGGTCTTGTAAACAGCGGGCGTTTGGGATTATTCGAGATTGAGAGGAAGAACTAGACAGATTGGAAGGAAGATTTTCCAAATGGGTGCCTAACACTTTAGGGCACGACATACTTCGCGGTAGCGCACACCGACGTAGGGGTTTTTCTGTGGGAACCCTAACCGGAGCTTTTGACTCAAAAGTCTGACCCACAAGGTAGTGGGGCGTAAATCCAACGCGGGAGCGTGAACTGAGCACCCGTGTGGAAGCTTCTAGAGACCTGCCACGCAAGACATTTGAACTTCGATTAATTGTGTTGTTCACTGGTGCATTGATTATCGGTCCGCTTTTCGGGATCGGCCCTTAGCCTCATGCACCCAATGAGAGAAGCAGAACTTGGATGGGACATCCGTCAAGAGGAAGCCCCAGGTACCCCGCTCCTACGTCAATCTAGCGGGGAGTGTGACCGGTAAAATGCCCTTCACCGTGTTTATTTACTGGAGTGGCCTCTCCAGGGGTGGGTGTGGATAGATGAAGGAGGCCAGGAGGTGCCAAAACAGCTGGCCTTGTGAGACTGAGCCCCGTCTGGCCTCTACTCGTTGACCTTCCAGGCATGATTTTTTTAATTACACACTTTCGTGTGATAAACAGTAGAAGGGGTGGAACCCCTTAATCACGAGGACCTGGAAACCGGTAACCTAAGCCCCGGGACTTGGAGAAGTAAGCCACATAAGACCCCGATAGGTTG